ATAGCCAATGAAAATAATTATTTAACCTTGAAGGATTAGTCTCGAACCTTATATAACCAATATCCGGTATTTTTTCAACTATCCGGTATATCCAGTATTCGGCCGGATCGTAAAATGCTCCCGTTTCGGTACACCCCTAGGACAAAAACAGTCGTAATATCTGTATTTAACTCTCCAAACTACATTAAAGTTGCCAACCTCTTCACTTTCATCTTGAAAGCCAGCCAATCGTAGCTGATAACCTTTCTTTTCCAAATCTTCAATTTTCTCCCTCGTAGCTTCCACTTTCCGTTGAGCAATTTTCTCCTGTTCAAGTCTATTCCTGGAGCGTTTCGACACTTCAACCTTCGCCAGTGTATCAAGAGCAAAGGGGAGAACTTCAGGGTGAAGTATGGATGTACGACCAACACAAACCAAATTAATGCTTCCACAATTTTTACCTTAAAATATATTTATCATGAATAAATTAGGAATCATTCAAATCCTTAATACACACAGATACTAATCCATTAATATAGCCTTAAATGTAAGGACTATAGAATCATAAATTGAATTCTATATTGTACTGGTAGCCAGTGTAGCTTGTAAAGCACAAGTGACATATGGTCAAAACGCGGCATATTAGAGACAAGGCGCGCGGTCGTCTTCTGAACACGCCGCAATTATTTATTAAAGCATATATGAGCTGGGGCGGATCGTACACCTTAATGATTTTAAAAATCCAGGATTTTCAACGGCTTTCCTCTCTATGAGATTAGCCCCTACATACACCTTTTTCTGGAAAGGTGAAGTTATGCAACTAGCGGGCGTATAACTGCATATAAAGGCCATGTTCCATTGCAGTCGCTTTGCCCGAGCGGGCGGAGCGAACATTACTCAACTTTCTTTGGAGTTGTCTAACGTGTGCATTGTTTGTCTGCCTGAATGCTCGCGGACAGGCCATGAAAGTAGAACTACATTCGACTTAAGTTCTTTGTATGTTTGCATGTGATAAAATATAATAGTTTTGTTTGTGGAAACACCATGTAAATTTATTACTGCAATTGCAGTAACCAATTGCAGTATTGCAGTAATAAATTTACGTGGTGTTTCCACAAACAAAACTATTATACATTCGACTTTCTTGGCGTGCCCGCGCGACTGATTTTTCACGTGACTAAAATTGGTCGCTCCACCCGCACGGGCATGACGACCGCAATGGAAAATGCCCGTAGGAACATGGTTTTGAAATTGATCAGCACAAAAATACACACAATGAGTATATATAAAATGAGCGGCCATGGTGTATCCTATCAGATATACAAACTCGATCCGAAGGCGCATTTTCAGGAGAGTCTTTCACATTTGGACACAACACATCATTAAACAATTGATTCTTTTGAATTTTTTGCTATGAATTATTAATTGTATTAGTTGTAGGAGCAGGACTTACTACTTTTCACAGCGCCATTTTTGTCTGTCTGGTACTTCATTTCAGCAATCATACGACGAAGCAGAACATAGACAGCGGCATTAGAGGGAGCACAAAGCAAAATTTTGCCCAACGCTTGATGTTGAACAGCAACCTTTGATCCAGGTAAACGATTTCCCTTTTCTGCTTTCAAATCAATTTCACGACTCTACATTTGTGTAAAAATAAGTGAAAGTCAGGGACGCACCGACAGCGGGGATTGGGAGAGGGCGGGAAGGTGTGCCAATTTTTGTTCATGAGCAATTTCAGGAAAACGTCTAGGTGATTTTTTCTGATTTTCAGGTAAATTATAACAGGCACGCGTGGGAGTTAAAGGGAAAGCAAGCTAAGAATGCCAATTTTAGTTGCATTCCCGCGGGGCTTTCTGAGTGTCTAATCAATAATCGCCCCTCCAGTCACACTAATTCTGCCCCTGGAAAAATAGCCTCAACCATTGGTCTCAACGCGCAAAGTGCGGAAAGTGGCGTTGCTGTGACCACAAATTTTCAAAAATTTTACTATCCAACCAAAACATAAACGCACATGCAGAAAATCAATCTGATCTTCTGAGATTGAGATTTAAAGTCATAGTTAAAGTTAAGAAATTAGTTAAAGTTATAAATTCACTCTTACTTCCATACAGTATATCTCCCGCCTTTGGGCAAGCCTTGGCAGCCCACATTTTTCCTTTGTGGAAATATTTTTTTGCCTTTGCCCCCTCCCCCGAGAAAATTCTTTAAAACGGCACTGAAAGCCTTTAGCCTTAATATATATAGCTTGTTCTTTTTTTCTCTTTCAACCAAGGAGTCATTTGTGTCTCATCGACTCTCATGCACTCTCGTTCACTTTGAATGGACCTATTCCCTAATAAACAAAATTTTGATCGAGACAAGTCCAGACAAAGATTTCATCACAGCTTGAAAGAGCATCACAGAATTAGTAATATTCCGACGTTTTGTTGCGAAATGTTATAAAATGCGGATAATATAGCCCTGCGAAGTTTGCCGTTTTTGATACCTTTTTTCAGAAAGCGGTATCAATTTCCCGTGCGTAATACAAAATGACTGAAAAACAGCAAACTTCGCAGAGCTATATTATCCGCATTTTACAACATTTCGCAACGAAACTTCGGAATATTATACTAATTGTGTGATGCTCTTTCAAGCTGTGATGAAATTTTTGTCTAGACTTGTCTAGATCAAAATTTTGTTCATTAGGGAATAAGTCCATTGGTTCAAATTTTAAAGAGAGTTGATACGAGTTTTCGCTATACGCGCGCGGTAATATCCAGTCAAATATCGTCAATTCTTATGCAACTCTTGTTCTTGTTTGACCGGGATATGAGAGTTGAGAAAACTCTGATGCAAACTCTCGCTTCTCAACTCTGATCAACTCACATTTTCGTTCGACCAGGGCTTTAGGTGGACGTAATAGGGAGGTTCAGATTTGAGTTCCAATACCGCTACCACCAATCAGATACGTTTTATATATCCAATGGACCATTTGCATTATAGACTGAATGTTGATCTCAACAAGTCTACACAAAATTTCATCACAGCTTGAAAGAGCATCACAAAATTAGTAACATTCTAAAGTGTCGTTGCGAAATGATGTAAAATGCGGATAATATAACCTTGCAAAGTTTGCCGTTTTTCAGTCATTTTGCATTACGCGGGGGAAATTGACAGCCCAATACCCTTTGGGGTAGCCTACGAAAACAGCCGCCACTTTGCTGCTTCTATTAATATAACGTCGCACAAAGAAGACTTCTTAATTAACTATCTTCTTTGTGCGACGTTATATTAATAGGGAGCAACAAAGTAGCGGCTGTTTTCGCAGGCTACATTGGGGCTGTCAATTTCCCGTTTGTAATACAAAATGACTGAAAAACGGCAAACTTCGCAAAGGCTATATTATCTGCATTTTACAACATTTCGCAACGAAACTTCGAAATATTGTGATGCTCTTTCAAGCTGTGATAAAAATTTTGTCTAGACTTGTTGAGATCAAAATTTAGTCTATAATGCATATGGTCCATTAACCAATCAAATGCGTAAGAAGTAGTGAAGGTAAAATCTGAACCTCAGAAAACTGCGCAGAAAAGTAACAACAATACTTTACCTTTAAGTATGATTTTATCAAACCAATAATGGTGTGAGATTTTCCTGTCCCTGGTGGGCCTTGAACGAATGAAATCCTGGGTATCGGGAACGGTAGACGCAGAGCGGCCAAGGTTCCATCAATAGCCGCTGCTTGCGACTTGTTGTAAACCTACAGGAGACGCGCAGTAGGCACATATTTAAAGTTGAGCGAAAATTATGTATACTGTACATTTTTTTAGAAAAAACCAGGAGCAGTTGCAAATATACATCTATAGACCCTCAGGCCGACAGTGTTTATTGTATATTTCATGATTGAAAGTCGTATCTACAAAATCCCAGTCCCACAAACCAATACATTTAAATGTCTAGGTGTAAATCTAGATGAAAAATTAAGTTGGGAGAAACATATTGATTCTGTATGCTATAAGATTAGCGCTGGAATAGGAGCAATTAAAAGAATAAAACCTTATGTTCCACACAAAACCTTACATGATGTCTACAAAACATTAATTCAG